TGTGAATATAATTTAAATTGTTCCGAATCCTATGGGAAACTATGCCTATAAGATATAACTTATATAGTATAGAGCATCCTTGCCAAACAAGACGTTACAATTCATAGAACTTGATAAGGACATATTCCAACCATGGTTTCAATGTTACATTAGAAGTTAAACAAAAGTCATTTTTCCAGATTGGACTTTACACAGGATGGCCTTTTCAATGCAACAGTTGAACCACAACTGTGATTCAAACAAGTTCAACTCGAGTTTCCCTCTCAAACTTGAGTCTTAGTAGGAATCCCTTTCATGAAAACAAATCCCCTGGATCAGCAATGCACAAAACCAAACACCAAAACCAACTCGAGAAAGACCACACAAAAAACGTAACACTAAATTCTCCCGGAACTCCTGGTAAAGTGAGCAACTACCTCTCGAAAAGGTGTGAGGTGTTTTGAGTGTTTGTTTGTTGCCTTCTCAGGCGTTTGTTAAATTCTTCACAAGCCCGGGCATGCATTAGAAGAACAGAAGCACTGCAACGTGCACATACTCCAAGCAAACAATAGAACACACTGCAATATAGACAGATCCCACAAACAACATGGAAAAAGTGCACTCCCACAGTCCCACGTTCTGATTGTTTTGCCGATCATCCAGGCTCCTTAGCACCCCATCGGGAGTTCATCACCAGCCACAGCCACTCTCCCCGCAAACCAAAATAAACATCTACACACCCACACATACCCACAGGAAAAAAACACACACTGAACCATACGATCACAAGACAAATACAACATACAAACGCGCGCACACACAAGCAAACAACTAAAGATCATAAGAACAATAAAAGGTATAGGCACCAACTGCACGCGAACAGTGACACACACACACACCACACACGCACACACACATACCAAAAACCACAAAGCACCACACCACACCACACCAAACCACTCCACACCACGCCATGCCACGCCACACCACGCACGCCCGCGCTCGCGCACGCGCACGTGCGCCCACACACACACACACACACACGCTTGCACATGTGAGCACCCGCGTCATTTGCCCAGGCAAGCAGCGTCGTGAACTAGGCAAACAAAGCCGCCAGCAAGACTAGAGAAGCAAGTGTGGGTGAAAGATGTGAAAGTAGATGGCACGTTCCCCATTTTGGCTTCACGCAAGTCGCCCACTATGTGCCCTCCATACCGATCATACCGTCAACAGACTACCAGTAAGTTAACCACATTTTCTGCCAGTTGCTCACAACATCCTCCAGCTTTATCCCTGCAGAGCAGCATCGCACGCTCCTGCGATAGGTTTTTATATGCTGCGGTTCAGTTTTTGGATTCAAGACGTCCGGCCAGCGGTGGGCCGTGCCATTTCAGACACCTGACGTCACAGCGGGGCTCATCGCGACCAGGCCCCAAAGAGACTGAGAAAAACTGCGGTTTGGCTCCTTGTCGAGGCTCGGTACCCTTGTTCAGGTCGGTTTTACAGGAAACCAACAAGACACACCACCATTTTGCCGCCGCCCCTCCCCCTCAAAGGAAAACCGCCATGCCTTGCAGAATGGCGAACGCGGTCGTTCAGCGCATCGTTTGTGTTGCTTTCGGTCCATTCCAAGCCCGGTAGGGGGGGCCTCTGTCTGCCGCATCGGCGAGCTCGCGGAGGAGCAAACTGAAAGTTGCATTGACTCACAATACCCAATCCGAATGCAGGTGATATGCGAATATAAGCAACCCGTGTGGATTAAAACACATATATATATATATATATGTTATTTTTGTATACCAACATTGAACTCATCTGGAGTTGGCAAGTGCGTGTACATATTACATGCATCAGACAAGGGATGGTTGCTGGACAAGAATCAGACTGTGAAAGCACTGTGTTCAATCGGTTCAAAGAAGCCGACAGACCTTGAACAATCAAACATCTCTTTGGGACCCGTGCTGGCTACAAGCGCATCGCAGGGCGGACCATTGTCCGCCCCACGCAGCAACCAGCCGAGCGCTTGGACCTTTTCCCAGTCTTTGCCGCTGGCCGTGTTCTCACAACCCGCTAAGACACCAATTTATGTCCCTTGATGGTGTCAGGAAGTGTCAAAGGGAATTTATCACTACTGGATGTCTTCCGGAACCTTAAGCAAATGGAAGACAGGTGTCCGCTTTTGGTGCGCCACAACTTTCTTTCACAAGAGGCCAGGGTCAACAGTTGCAAAGCCTGGAATGGCCGCGAGAGCAGGACCAAAGGATCGTACCGCCGTGAGCCGAGGGTCCGTGAGATTGCTCGTGCAATGTGAGTCTAGCCTTCGTGGTGCTGGGGATTGGGGGATCAAATTCACAATCAACCAAATGCCCCGAACAGCCTGAAACATAACCAAGGGTTGGCTGAGCAATCCACCAAAACTGCGGTGAGAGAACTATTTGCAACTGGTTGATTCACAGGGGAGTTGTGTCCGCTCCAAAACCCCTCACTTTTGGGGAAACCCTTCACTGTTGACCGTTGGGGAAACAGCACAAACGATCAGCAAGGTTGTTGAAAAATCGGGAGTCGGCCTGGGGCAAGGATATTCAATCTCGTGAATCAGACTTGCACTTGAACTTTGGTTGAGCTGAACTTGGTTGGCGTTAAAAGAAAAGCAAAAAACTGTTAGCAGTATTTCAACCACGACTAAACCACAATAAGCAAAAATGCAAAATGTTTCACAACAACAACCATGTGAAAGGGGAACAGGGCAACTGCTTTACCTTGCAAGACTCGGCACGCTTTTCCCGCAAAGCGCGCCCGGACACCGCCAGAAAACAAACACGCAAGCAAAACTTAGAATGAAGCATTTCTCCGCTGCGGCCCGGCCACCCCCTCACCACCTCCCCCCTCCCCCCCAAAAAAATGTAGGAAAAGCCGTAGAATGTAGAAAAACACAGAACTGAAGACAAGACCAATCAACTCCCTGGATCCTGGCAATTCCGGACGTCCCGTGCCCACGGCTCGTTGAAACTACCCGCATCGGCTTCTGCCGCGGGCGGTTCGCTTTGTGGCGCGCCGAAATCTGAAACGCGCCGAACGGCTTACGCCTTCCGTCACAGAGTTCGTCCACTTCGCTTTTTACATCCCAGGAGACTTGATTTCCACATCATATTTTCGATGTCCAAAATCCGAATCCCCCTAACAAGAGAAACCAACTGGCCATCTGCATTTTTGATTCCAACTCCCAAGCGTCATAAGGTATCCCCAAACGAAAGGCCGACATCACGAGTGTTCCGAATCGGTGAGCTGGCCACAAAAGAGGGGTCCTGGGGATGTAAACTGACCTGTTCAAATGACTGGCCACAAACAAATTCCCGACGAAGACAACTAAACCCGCAAATCTGTCCGGCTTGGCAACCGAACAGGCGAGCAACTAAGCCAGCCTCCGTTTCATTAAACATACTAAATTAAACCAAAAAAAAGCACCCAGGAAACTTGCCGCTCCCCATGCCTTGCGCGATGTCGGGACGTGTTGGCTCCATGGGCCCTGGGATGCAAAAGGTGTCGCTCAGAAGTCCTCTCGCTCAGAGGCCCTCCCACTTCTGAGGCCCGGTGAGGCCCCACTCCTCAGAGGCCGGGGCGCGTGACGCGTGTTGGGTCTCGCTGGGGCCCCTTGGGTCCCCCCCCCCCAACCCCAAAGGCTTAGGGCCGGTTGGTTTTTCGGGGCCAACAGGAAGGGGCCAAAAGCAAGAAAAGAGTCGCTGGTCTTGTGCTGGGGGTTGGTGTTGGGCGAAACCAAGGGCAAAGCACATAGTGGCTTCTATTGTTGCCAAGAGCCCCCCTTGGCAGAGGGGCCCAACCCCAAGGGGGCCAACAGCAACAAGGCCGTTGTCTGCCAAAAGAAAAGTGCCAAAAAGGGTTCCACTGGGTGGACTGTAACAAGTGCCCTGCCCACAGTGCCTGGAGCATACCCGGAAGGCGGTATGATGAAGCGGGAGGGAGGGTATTGTATCCCACACCCATGCCACATACATAAAGAGCTACTCTCTAAGCATATATACATATACACGTACGTGTACAATGTGCATTACATGTGCATACATATCAAGAGACAGTAAATATATATATATATATAAATGTGCTGCTTCTGCGTGCATAATATTGGGACCAGAGTAGTCAAGCCTCCGATTAAGGCTATCCTGCTCCCTTCTGAGTTCCCTGCATTACAAAGGCTACTGCGAAAAACTACTTTCTTGCTGGATCCCACGGATTGCAATAACATATTTCCAAAAGAAGCTATCCACAGAGAGCAAATGTACTTCCCGCACTAATAAAACCTAATAAGACCAAACCCTTGACCCAAAGCAGGCGGAGAGAAAGGACCAAAAGGATTGTTGTTTTCTGCTCCTTTGCTTCAATTGTCCAACACAACAAAGTTGATGGTGCAACATGCGACCGGTTAAAAAATGGGTTTGGGGCGGGCAATCAAATGCATGGGTTCCATGTGCTTTCCCTTCGCCTGACCCCCCAACGGCCCAAATATGGGCCAGGGCATTGACGGTTTGGGCGGTAAGCCACAACCTTACCAACTCTTCATAGCTCACAAAAGAGAAGTTTTGCCGCAGCCTCAGGCAAAATGAACCAACCAGCAATGGGCCGCGAACAATACTGGGAGCCAAATAGGGGGTCCGGAGAAAAACAAAAAACATTTGTGGGCGTGTTGGAGAAGCTCAGTTCTGGATATGGGACACTTACCACCACAAACTTTGTTTGGCCCTGCCCTCTGAGAACTGCAGGCAAACACGGGACACCGAGAATCGCGGGCCAGAGGTTAAGTGAACTCAAAAGCCCTACCAACATGGCCAGTGGACTATGGGATCACAGTTCAACATGGAGTGGAAGGAATATGGCCTGGCTTTTTCTGATGGATTCAACCGGCCGGGATTAATCCTCTGAAGTCGAAGTTTTCGGGAGCCAACTCCAAAATGCGCTAAATAGTTTGGAGACCCCAGAAAGCAGGGTTCTATCCATGGGATACATCTCACCAGAGCTGTGGGAACTGACAGCTTCTGTGACACACCAAAAAGGGCCTCACAGACACTAACCCCCCATACAAAAAGGGGATTGCCTGGTATCACAAAAGTGGGGGACACACTGCTTGATCCCAGAATCCTGCATCTCACAGATCAAAATTAAGCACCAGGGGACCTCAGGTTTTAAGCCTTGGTTCCATTCACCAGGGCTCCAGTTTGGGGCTACCCTATTTTTGACCCACCGCCACATCAGTTCTACCAAGGGATCCCCCAACAAAAAAGGTCCTGGACTGAGTGTGCGGCCACCTTCACGTGCTCCGCGTGGGCCTTGGCGCTGGTGTCCGTGTAGCGCCTCGGTAATCCATCGGTCACGCGAGGCGTCCAATCAGAGCTCGGGACGGTTGGGAAAAAATTGCTGACAGAACTCCCCAGGTAGTTTTTGTTTCATCCTTTTTTGTCACATGCAGGGAATTGTGACATCTGCTTGTGTGTTAGGCCGCCATTTGAGCAATGGGGGGCGATGGAGGCAAGCACTGGCTGGGAAATGCGTGCAACTACGGACTAGGGGGAAAATGAAACGCTTGGAAGCCAAAATGAGAAATATTGAAAGGTCAAGTTCGTGAGACTCCGGCTATTGAGCAAGTGGGTGGGGGAATGGGTTGGTGGGTTGGTGGGTGGGTGGGTGGGTGGGTGGGTGGGGCAACTTAAGCCCACTCCCCAATACATGTTGAAAACGTGTGTCGCACCATGGCTGCGATATGAGAAACTCGAAACGCACATGGCTTCCTGCAAACGGGGACTCAAATCTTGGGCTGCTCTTACGATTGGCGCGGTTTGTGGTTGAAGCTGCCCACTCGGCTCAAACCGGTGGCTTGAAAACATGTGGCGTCTCCCCTGCAACATTAACGTCAAAGAAGAAACGTGGTGGAGAAACTTGGGTGCTAGACACCGGGGTGTAGGGGGAGAAAATACCCAAACTACCCCCGACCAATTAACATGGAACCTGAACAGGGGGGGTTCTGGAAGACCAATGGACCCCCGGTCAGCACCTAGGAACTTCATTCCAAGGTGCTCCCCACGCACCAAAAAGGGGCGCCATCCCAAAAACGACCCCAACCCAAGTCACGGGAAGGTGTACATCGCCGCGACTTTCTATGCCTATGTTTGGTTGACGCAGGGCTCGGACTTCTCGGTGTTTTTCTCCGCCGGGAAGTGTCCACTCGATCGATCCCAGGCGCTTGCCCTCGTCCTGCTTGTCGAAGCAGATGGCGATCTCCGCGAAGCCCTTCTTGAAGTCCTCGCCGAGGCGGCCGTCTCGGCCACGCCGCGCCGAGCGGCCCAACGGCCGGCCCAAAGGCTCGCTGCCACGTGACCGACCCGGCCCAACAAATTGGGAGCTTGGCGCACCCAAAGGTACAAAAGGAAACTGGGACAACGGCCGGGCCCCTCCAAATAATAATAATAATAAAACATCCGAAAGGGGAGTCCCGACGCGCAATCGCCCCCTGTAAAGCAACAGCTCCAAGCTCCGGTCCTCCCATTCCATCCAGAAGACACCGTTGTCCTTGACCCCGACCTTGTGCCCCGTCGCCTTGAGTGCCTCGCGAACTTCGCGAATGGCTTGGCCCTTCGCCCCTCCGCACCTCCCGGTTGTACGGCCCAAAAATGGCCTTCGGCTTACCCACAAGAGTCCATGGCGAACTCTGGAAAAAACATGACCCTCAAAAAAACGCACCTGAGCGTGCAAACTTGACCAAAGGAAACTCACTCTTTGAACCAAAAGGTAATGCGGACATTATCCACAAGGGCCTCAGACTTTGCCGGACGGAGAACTTCCCACCGAAATTTCGGAATGGAGCAGGGAAGTCTTGTATGCACTTCCGAACGAGTGGACTAGCCAACTAACAGTCCAAACTTTCTGTTTGCCAACAAAATGATTGCCCGGACATGTTGAAAGTCCGGAAACTTAGGAAGTGTGTGTGTGTGTGTATTGAGCCAATATCCGGCACAAATGGGCCCAACTCTTGTCCAAGGCTGTTGCGCCCGCCGACTCGTTTGTGGGTGTGGAGGGGCTACCCCTCATGGCCCCCGAGCCATGATTCCCGGGCAGAGACCCCGTAGCTTTCAGCTGTTGGGGGAAAAAAACCATGGATATGATTTTCCCAGGTCGATCAAAAATAAGAGGGCACCCTTTTTGGAGCGGCTTCAAATTCACAAAGTTTGAAGCCAGGAAAGCCTATTGGCCCTTTTGGGGTCCAAAATTCCGAATCAAACGACGACGCGGCCATTTCGAGCAACCCATTTTCACCTTTCAACATCGCCGCCCGTGCCTCCGGGTAAGCGTTCCAAGTCCTAGGCATGGCCATCCCCCGGATCCCCTCCCAAACTTCCCTTGAAAGTCCTTACGGCCTGTGGCATTTTTTGAGGCCCCTGCGTAAAGTTGGCTTGAAAGGCCATCAACATGAAAGCCACTTTTTTTGGGCGGCACCTTCTTTCAACACACTCAAATGTATGGAGTTTGCAGAAGCATGCAGGTGAAAAAACGTAGCTTCAACAGAAAAAAAAAAACTGCGTGCTGGGGCTCACGTGAGTTGAAAACCCCGGAAGAAAAAGAAACAACGATGTCACTCAAAATTGAGCCTTTTTCCCTCAGCCCAGTGGTTGTCCTTACTACCCACCGTGTGACCTGACCATCTGGGTCATGGAAAGGACATTTCCTGGTTGCAAGGGCCTCTGCTCAGACTCCATCCTTTTCTTGGTGGTGTCCTGAACATTTTACATGGCACTTTTTCCGAGGAAACTCGGGTGTGTCACCCAACACCCTTTTCGGGTTCCATGTTAAGTGGAGGAGCAGTGGCAACTTCGGATTCAGGGAGAAGGAACATGCCAATCCAGGTTGCCCCTCATTGAGCGGGGACATAGTTCATTTGTTGGGTCTTCCGTTGATTAGTACAGTACCGTATGGTCCTATGGATTTATACCCCAAAGAATCAGAATGGAGGCCTGATCAAAATAGGGGTCTTACTCTCGTCTTTCCCAGCAGAATCCAAGCTTCGTCTTGTCGTCGTCGCGCCACTTGCCCTTCCACTCGTTGGTCATGTGAGGGTTGCGCACGTGCATGAGCCTTGCTCGACGGATTCACACCAAATCCCAAATCGAGGGATTTGCATGGCAAAGGTCTTGGGACATAACCCAGCCCCTTTCTTGGGGGTAGCTTGGGCGCTTGGGGGGGTGGACTATGCTGCTGTCTTTTATTTCTGAGCTCATGTTATAAATATATATATATATATGTATATGTCAATGTGTATTACAGTATGCTATGCAAATATTATTTGAAACAAACCTGGGGGGGGGGGGGCAAATGGAGCTTTGGTTTCTTGTTGGGTGCTTCAAAAAAAAGCCCAGGCCGCGGCTGGATGGTCTGCGTCTTGCCCTGGCGGGTCACAGGCACGTCCAGCATGCGCAGGATGGTGTAGGCATGGCCTGCCATTTGGCAGCCACTTCTCTAGGGCCTGATTCCTTTTCCCATTCTTTTCAACCATCGTTCTTTTCAAACACCAGCCGTTTTCCCTAGGTTTCCGGAGGTGTTCTAGAAAGATCCGGATCCCGGGGTTAAGAATGGAATGGAAGGCACCCTCAGAACTTCGGGCTTGCTTCCCTTGGTTGCAACGACCCCTGCAGAAAGTTTGCCACTTTTTGGGGGGGTTTAGTGGAAAACACCGTTATGTCCCAAAAAGTGAAAGTCGAAAGATCCGTTGCCCAGCAGTCAAGTTCCCTTCCACTTGGCTAAGACCCTGGAAAGAATGAGAACATATTTCCAGTGGTGATAAAGTCCCTTCAAAACCAACAAGGGGAAATTAAACATATTCATTTCAGCAAATGGAAGTTCCCCTTCCGAGCAGAAGGGAAAACCGTTTGCGGGTTCTCACTTCACCTTTTTGGGGCAAGCCACTCCAATGGTCAAGCCCCAAACAGTTGCCTCAGGGCCCATGAACTCGACCCTGAAGCACAGCCCAAGCGAACTCAGGGCCCTTCTGTGATACCTCTTCGTGAGCTTTAAAAAACGAAACGAAACGCCTTTTGTAGGCTGCGGAAAATCCCGTGGATTCCAGAAGGTTGAATTGGGCGATTCGCTTACACCAAAAGCTAACGCTGTCATATGGGTCTTTGGTACCCCCCCCCAAAGTTGTCGGCTTGTTCCCTTGCTTTCCAACTTGAAACCAACCACTCAAAAAGACACCCCGGTTGGAGCTATTGGTTCTTCTCCAAGAGGTATGCTGTTGCGTGTGTTTTTACTGAGTCCCCTAGCTTGCGGGGCGTAGCGAGTGAGCCCCCATGTTCCCCCCCGAATGGAGCTTCTTTTAGAATGCTGGCAAGATTGACCAAAGCTCAAATGGGCGTGTGCTAAGGGACCTCTAACAAGTTGGTTATGTTCTCAACAAGCTAAAGCTCAATATGCAGCAAATGTTGCGGTCAAAGCCCAACCCGACATTCCCACGCACGCCAAGAATTCAATGACCATGTCAGCACAATATGTTATAATACTTCCAACACCTGAAATCCGGTTGCGCCAAGTACAGGATCCACATAGTGAGCTCATTTTACCCAGCCCCATTCTTATGTTGGGTATGCTTGAACAACTCCCTGGAACAGTGCCAACAGTCCAGCGGGGGCCTCCTTAGTAGGCAATTCGGGTCTGGGTTCGACTTGCCAATGCTTAATTAAGCATTGCCAATTCTAAATTGGGAAGCTCCCAAACCCCCAAACAAGTTGGACATTGAATCGAACCACGAAACAGTCAGATTAAACGGAATCAGGGCCTCTTGTGGGCAACCCCCTTCGTGTGACTGCGTGGCCTTCATTTCTATATAAGTTCTCTTAAATTTGACCGCTTGGCGACCGCTTCAACACATAAATTCCTAATGGTTGCCCAAATGTCTTTGCCCGGATTTGTGTTGCCCGATTTGTCTTTGCCCGGATTTGTTTCCGGCAAAACACGATGGCTATCAAAGCGGAGCTCGAAACAGTCACAGGATTCTGAAGGAAACATCTTAGCGAACTTGGGTGGGTAGGTACGCGGAGCTCCCCGAACCCCTCGGTCAAGAAACAGGTCAACTCGGCAAGGACAGCCTCCAACAAGTGCACCATGGAAACTGAGCGAGAACAAGACCAAAGCGAAACCCAACACAAAGGACAGTCCGCTGGACTCCGCAAAGGACAGAGAAGCAAAACAGGTTCCACCTACTCAAACGCAAGAATCGAGAGGAACCACACCTAAAAAACGAGACTCAATCAACACCTCCCAGCTCAAAAAACCAAAATCAACGCCTGAGACTCCCCCCCCCCCCACATCCCCCCCCCCGCCCTGTAGAATGCCATTGTACTCGCACCGGGATCCACAGGCCAGGCTGTAGCCCTCCTTGTTGGAGTCCTGGAAACAAGCCCCTCGAAGGACGGGAGTGGTGTCTTGAGGCCTTGGGCTAGGTCCTCCAGTAGAGAGGTTAGAATAAGGGCGCCCTTTTTTCAGTAGTCTATTCTAGTTAGGGGAACCCTCCCCCAAAAAAGAAACGGTAAAAGGGCACCTAGATGGGAGACCTAGTAGGGCTTGGGTTGAAGGGACGCCAACAGTAAACCACCCATTCTCAGGCGGCCAGCCTTCTTTCTGGGAAGATGGACATCTTCAGTAGCCCATTTTGGATCGAAGTCCCTCTGAGACATACCCATGGGCCTAAAAAGAAGGGGAGAAAGCCACCAATGTAGTCATGGGGGGTAAACAGTTCTTGTGTATACCAATGTTGCTTTTAAACGCCCCCCGCAAGAAATAAAAATTAAATTCCAGTAGTCACCGATTCCTTTTAAAACTCAAAGGGGAACATTTAAAAACACATAGTCGAACTAATTTTCTTAATCAAACGGAAGCTATTTGGGCACCCCCTCAGCTCCGAAACGGCTCCCTTGCAACCAGGAAAGGAAGCGAGCGGTTCCCCAGAGCAATCCTTCTGGCCGTCGACCCTGGAAAAAGGGACCGTGGGTTGGTTGTGGGGAACCCGAACAGAAACACGCGAAAAAGGGCGCCACTGAACAAGGCGGTGAGCACGGTGCATTCAGTTCCCACAGCTTGCCAGCACAGGCGAAAAGAAGCCAAGGGTTTCAACCGGGAGCAAACTCAAATTTACCTTGAACCCTTTTGAGGGATCCGATTTCGGTTTCCCTGGGTGTATCTAAGCTTCCGTTCATTTGAGTACATCCGGACTCTCCTATAGGGGAAAAAATGGCCGAGCCTTCAGCTTCTGCCAGAGCTCGGGGTCGCTGAGCGCCGTCTTGTTGTCACAAAACTTCGATGCATCCTGACGCTCGTGGCTCGTGACACATCTGTGAAAGCTGAACTGGACGATTGGTTCTGCCACTATGGCGATCAAGGCTTAAGGGCTTTGCCGCTACCAAGGAAGCCAAAGAAAACTAGTAGAACCTTCTGAAGTGGCGAATTGGGGTTTGGGCCTCCACCTATCCCTGAAGAGGGGCCCCAACCCAAAAAAATCAAGGGGTTTAGCTGCATCCACGGACCTGGATAGTGGCTTGGACCAACCCAAAACAGCATCCATGTTCAAGCAACTGACCTTACCACATCGCGGAGGGTCTCTGGATTTAACCTGTCCCCCCCCCCCTGAGCCAAAAAAAAACATGAAGAAAAAGGAAAAAGAACACACACACACACACACCCGCCTGGCCCCAATAGCTCCAGCCACACACACACACACACCCGCCTGGCCCCAATAGCTCCAGCCGGCGTCGATGCTCTTCTGGCGGAGGTACACCTCGGGCACTTTTTGCTGCCCAAAATCGCCACATTCGAGGGAATTTTCAGCTAGGACCTTGGGTAGAGAGGTTAGAATAAGGGTGCCCTTTATTCTGTAGTCTATTTTAGCAGGGGAACCCTCCCCCCCCCAAAAAAAAAGAGGTAAAAGGGCACTTACTGGGAGACCTGGTCAGGTATTGATTTTTGGAGGTATGGAGGTTGCATTATGTTGCATTCCGCTTCTAGGGCCAAACACCGGCATTGCATGTGTGGTTTATTCGTGTTACACAAGCATCCATACCTCCCAAAGACCTGAAATGCCCTTGACACAAGGGTAGAACATGGCAACCAAAAAAACATGAGCCAGGATATCCAGCCGAAAGATTCCTTTTGGAGACTTTGTCAACGGATGACCAGGCGCCTCTGCACTTCAAAAGGCAAGTTTTGCGGGGCCTTGCTTTTTAGGCCGCAAGCAGTTGTTGTCCAGAGGGCCCATAAACCAAAAGCCGAGATGCAAGTCAAAGACAGGCTTGGGCTTGGGGAATCGAACGGGTCTGCTTCATGGCCAAAGAATTCCACTGCCAAACCCCCACAAGAATATTAGGCATATGCCCATTTCCCCACTTCCCGAGCTCATTAGCCAGAAAAAGTCCCAAACTTGTTGTTTGCCACTCCACTTAGGATCTAAACCCCAACAAGCGACTAAAGTCCATGAACTCAGGACGTACGTTTCCGGTGCATGCGGCATATCCCGTTTCGAACTGGTGGGTCTCGCTTGCGGCATGGCCTAAGGCGCGGTTGTCTGAGGCGGCGGCGGTGGCATGCATGCACATGCGGTTGTTGGGGCCCGTGAGGATCCTTAGTTCGGCGGCTCCGTGTCTTCTGAGGTTGCCCTTTTCACCTTCTCTAGGTCCTCCGAAAGAGAGGTTAGAACAAGGGTACCTTTTTTTTCTGTAGTCTATTTTAGTAGGGGAACCCTCCCCCAAAAAAGGGCGGAAGGGCACTACTGGGGGACCTAGTTCTATTTGACGGGTTTCCCAAAAGAGCTTGAGGCTCCGATTCACCTTCTGCTTGGCTAAAGGGTGTAACCGCTCTGGAAAAGCCCCGGCTTACTCTCCCCGAGCAGTTTCATCCATGGCTTCCTTGGAAAGCCCAAGGTTCATGTCCAAAACATCTGTTGTTGTTTTTTTTCCCAAATAGCTGAAAACTATAAGATTTCTAACTTCTAATAAAGAGGGGAAGTGATTTGCGAGATTGGCGGCAGGGTGAGACCATGCGTGATGGTGCAGGTGCGGTTGGGGGTGCTGTTGGGGGTGCTGGTGTTCATAAAAAGAGTCCCCCTAGCAATAAATAATATTCTCCCCAGACTCCAAACAAATCCACGTCCGGAAATAAATCTAGAATAGGCAAATTCTAACGTAGCTCCAACTCGGGCCATGCCAGGGGTCCTCCAAGTCCTTTCCTTCTTTCCTTTCAGAGGACCAAATAAACAAAACCCGAAACTGGCTAGTTCTTTTAGACCTCTTGATGTAAAAGTTGTTGCCTGCATGCCTGAAACGCGCGCCTGCCAGCATGCCAGCATGCATGCCTAAAACATGCTCCTACCAACCTGCCTGCTTACATTGCATTTCCCGACCCAGCGGACACATGAAAAAAGAAGAGCCTGAACCACTTGAATCCCTTACTTTAACAAAATGCGCTCTGTGAGCTTGTTTGTCCCGGGGAAGGAAAGTGCTCTTGTGCTACAACTCAAACTCAAGCTACCCCCTGCTCAGGCCACCCCCTTTTCTTCCGGGAACACATGTTCTTCTTAGGGTGGTCAGGTTTAAGACTAGGGGGAAGGGCTGTAAAAAGGTAACCAGCATCACGCCATTTGAGTGATCCGACATTTTCCGACCATATCCGACCCATCGAGCGGCGCGTAGGGCTGGTGGTTGCCATCCTGCAGCGCAGAGATGCCGATGCTGATGGCCGGCTTTCCCGTGAGCATCTCCAAGGCGATGGACTGCACGCAGAAAAAATATCTCATCGGCCGCCCACGGAAACTCGGTTGATATTTGTGCTCCCCGGCTAAAAGTTTTAACTTTTAGTGGTTTGATGGAAAACTCACATTAGTTGGCAAAATGTTTTAAAGTCCTAACATCCACGCAAAATGCACCAAAGGAAAACCATCGACTGGAAAGTGGCCGCAATACCCACCTGGAGAGAATCTCAACCTTGTTTGCTGTTTTTTCCTTAGACACATCTGAGCGCGCTAACGTCCACGAAGGTGCAGCTTCGGATTTTTCAGGGAGGCCTGCACAACTTTCTGCGGGTGAACCGTTCCCGTGGCAAGCCTTCGAAAATGCCGTGCTAAATCTGACAGGTTAAGGGAGAATGTGTGTGAAGGGCCGGGTTGGACCCTCCCTTTTGAAGGTGTTGATTTGCGCCATTGAGTCCAAACCCATATCAGTGGATTGAAATGAATTCGGATGGCAGTCCTTTCTCACGCTGACTTTACCAAAGCGCACCCCTCCGAAAACAATCTGAGTTGGAAAAGCGATTTGCACCCACACCCTTGGGGCGCCAGGTTTTTTTAAGATTTTAAAGAGACACCCCTCAAGAACGGAAGTTGCAAAGCGCTCGCAACTCCCACAGGTCATGGGGTTGAATCGCGTAAGCACCGCCGTTTGTTTCAACCGCACCTCGAATCCGCCATCGATGCGGTAGTAGGCCTGACGCGGCAGGGACGGGAAGTTCGAGCCATCCGCACAAACATGGGGGGGTGGAGGACCACCCAAGTATCCAGAGGTCCCGTTCTTCAACCCAGCCCCCCCAGCTAATTTCCATGAAGGGCGCCAACTCTTGTTTGGTCTTCGTTTTTTCCAACAGGAACCCCTCTCAAAAGCAAAAAGGACAATCGGGCCCTTCCTCCCCCCCCTTCTCTTCTTGCCCCCCCCCCCCCGGCCCCAGTTGAACGCGGGTTTCTTGAGCAAGAACAACCCCCAAACCCCAAGCGAAGGCCGCCAGCCCACCCCAAGCCCTTGGAGCCCTCGTGGAGCCCTCGGAGCCCTCGGCACTGGGCCTTCACGAACTTGGCCACGGCCTTCTCCAGGAGGCAAGGCCAAAACTCGTTCTCCTCGAGATGAGGTTCTGCTCACGGACCGGAACCGTAAAGTGAGTTTTCTTGGGGGGCGAAGTAGAACACCTAAAGAATCCAAATTGTGGAGGAACTCTAAATGCTTTTGTTTCTTCTTTTTTTTGGGGGGGGGGGGCAAAAGTTAAAAGACCTAAAGAACCAATATTTTTGGAGTCCAGTTTGACACATATCCTTTTAATCTCAGATTCATTTTTGGGCCATCCGCCTCTGTTGTGTCATACCACACTGTCAAAAGTTTGTGTTTGTTATGTTGCTTTTATCTACTCATTCCTAGTTGTTCTTGTTGACAAAAAAAGTCCCCTTCTGCGCCCTCTGTGGCCAATTCAGAAACCATGGGTGGTTTAGCACTCATGGTTTAGACGGGTAACCCGACCGATCGACCTATCGCTCCTTGGTGGGCTTGGCGAAGCAGCAGGTGCCATACCTCGGCGATGGGATGGGCAGATGGGCCTCTGGAGAGGGGGGGGAATTTGCCTCAACTGCTGGGCACCGGGTTCTTCGAGCAATACCTTAAACCAAGAAGTACGCTCTATAAATAATGGGGTCGGTTGTTTTTACCCTCTACTGAGACAAAGGCTGACATTTGGCTTGAGCAATACCCTCGTTCCGAGCTTTCCGACCAATGTGGACGATCGCCTGATGAAGCCCAGTCTGTTAAAAGCCTTTCAGGTTCCATGAGAGAGCCCCCCTGGCAGCAAAAGGGAACCCTTTTTTGGGGCTAACCACTCTTGGCGGGGAACCCCCACCAAACAAGCAGGGAAAATGGGTGACACCCACGGAACTGGGCAAGGTGTTGAAACCTTTGCAGCTCTCCGGGCCCTGTGAGTTTAAACCACAGGAAGCTACTGCAAGCCCAAATTTAAACCCCTGGCAAGACAGCCTCCCGTTTCAAAACGGGTTTCTACACTACCAGGAAGGCGACTTCTTTTATCCCACAAGCAGTGGAAAAGGCAAACCGTGGACTTCGGAAGTTCTACACTTCCCCATTCTTTCCAAGGATCCTTCTTTCCAGAATACCAGAATCCCAGGAGAAACAGCTGGTGTTTGAAAAGAACGAGGGTTGAAAAGAATGGGGAATGAACTTTTAGAACTATGGACTTCGGAAGTTCTACTTGGATCTGGGGTTCCCATTCAGGGTCACCTGAGTCACTCTGGGCCACCTGGGGGCCCGACGTCCCAGGGCGCTGCCAATAGGGCAGGCGGTCGTCGATGGTAATCACCTGCAGGCCCCGCGCCCCGGCATTCGGCTGGCCCCAGGGGTCCGAACAGGGAGAACAAGGGACCAAACCGGGAGCAGGGTCGCAAGAGGAGGAAACAAAGGGAGCAACAAGAAAAAACATAACAAACACACACAGCCGCAGCCTCAAGAGTAAAGGGAAAAACCTGGGAAAAAAAACACCAGAGGAGATTGAGTGGGGTAGCTCTCTGCCCCTCTTAATACAAAAAGCCCAAACACTGGCAGCTTCCTCCCCCGGTTTTTCCAGTCTTGCAGAACAACGGGTGTACCCCTTCCCAAAATCCATTTGTGTCCAACTCCAGCTGACCCCCCCGCCCTCCACTGCCTTCCACTCCTCCTCGTGAGGTGCGTAGAGGCGGATGTCATAGCGGCCGTCCTGTGCTTCACGTCTAGTGACTGGCCGCGTTAAGGAAAACTACGTCCTCCAGTAGAGAGGTTAGAATAAGGGTGCCCGATGTTCCCCACCAGCTGAAAGCTTTGGGGTCTCAGGCCAGATAAGCTTCGGGGTGGTCCCAGGCGGCCCTCAGCTAAGGCCCCACAAGGGTTCCACTAGGGTTCCACGAGGGCTCCACGAGGGTTCCATCAGGGTTCCACGGGGTGGTGCGAGAACTAAAAAGAGCACCGCGTGCTGTTGGGGATATCACCTGAGCTTATTTTCTGTAGTCTAGTTTAGTAGGGAAACCCTCCCAACCAAAAAACAAACGGTAAAAGGGCACTACTGGGGGTCCTAGAAAACAACTTCTGGGGTAGCCAGTTGATGTGTCAAAGGGGGTGGTTTCAATTTGGCTTGCCTTTAAGCCAAGGTAAAAGGAGCACCCTCCAAGACGCAAAGCCATTCGTGGAGAACCTAAAGGAGGCAAACGGCCCGCGACCCTTCAGAAAGTGCGTGGGCAAATCCACTTTCCCGGGCTGGTATGGGCTCATGTTTTCCAGACTCTGAGCATTCCAAGCGTGAACCAGCTTTGAACCCTGAAGCCACGAGTCGCTGCCTGGCACGAGCAACCTTAGAGATGTGCTTCCTGGCGATTGCGCAACCCTCAGCGCTCATCAAAACGCGCCGTGGTAAACCACCTCAAACAATATGCTTGATGTATTTATGTATGCATTTAGAGTAGACTCTATCTCTCTTTCTTTCTTCCTTCCGTTCTTGAAAAAACAACTTTTCCGTAGTTCGTTCCTTCCTTCCTTTCTTCCTTTCCTTACTTATGTCTTTCTTTATGTTGTTATTTCCAGTCTTCCTTTCTTTCTTTCTTTCTCTTATCTCCCTCCCGCAGCAATCAATGTGTTCGCGCTTCCTGCTTTCGGACATGCAAACCAAAAGGTCCAACTGGTTGCCAGGGCTCAGGGTGGAGTCCACTGAGAACCTCCAGATTCGAGCAAGAAATACGAAATACGAAAAGCACCCCCACAACGGAGACGAAGAAGCGGGGGGGGGGTGGCACTCAGGTCGGCTTGGTCTGCGCCGAAAGAAATGGGGTGGCCACTGTTATAACACGCACAACCCCCCCCTCTGGGCCTCAAAATGGCACCTAGGACATGAGAAAGGATCTTAATTACGAAGAACCCATATCCGCCGACATTTTTTTTTAAACTAAGCAACAATGAAAATTGAGAACCGAACCCCGCCTCCGTGAGGGTGTGCTGCTTGAAGAGGGCGCGCACCCGGTCCGGGTACTCCGCCAGAGCCGCGAAGGAGGAGACCAGCCAGCAGTCGCCTCGACTTGGAAAGTCCCAACTTTGGGGGATGGACCAGCGTCATTGGTCACCATACTTCTAGGGGACACTTTCCCATTCTTGCCAGGGATCCTTCTTTCCAGAAAATCAGAACCTCCCAAAAAAAAACAGCTGGCTTTTCAAACCAACGATTGTTGAAAAGAATGGGGAATGAACCCTTAGAACACTGGCCCCATGATCTATGGTCCAAATCATGACCCCAGCTGTACATGCCCCTGTTTTCCTGGCAAGTGAGGACAACTCTGGTGCTGGAGGTAAAGCCAAGGCGCCAAGGTAGCCCTGCTGAATGTCGCGCGGGGACACGTTCCTCAAAGGAACCGAACTGTCAACTTCCAATATGCCAATGTCCTGAGACTGTTTTAGTGGGGAGGGCAAAAGGGCCACCTGAACTCAGATATTTCCTCTGCACCCACCAACCAGAGGGAGTGCGGCGGTACCAGGTCCAGGGGAAGTTAAATCAAAAGGGCTCATCTCACTCTAAAGTATTCATTTGAACTACAAGGCGAAAGGGACCGAACAACATGGACCCTTGAGATAATCCTTTACGAATCAATGTGACATATATGGTAGGCCGAGTCCCCACACCCATGCACTGGCAAACTGGCCATAACATATTGCAGCGTAGAACATATTGAGACCATTTCTCAGGTTGACCATGTTTAGCAGGCCTCGACCCCGTCTCCGGGAAAAAAACAGAAAACCAACAAAGGATATTTAATTATATAGAAGGTGCTGCCAAACGAGGGGGCGCTCATACAAAACCAAATTCCCATTCGTGCAATTGCGAGGGAACGCATACCATTTCCCCGTGCCAGTTGGCCCCATGAACAATCGCCAACCAATTCTGTTTTGGGGGCTCCCCTAAAAAGACACACCCAAGTGAGCCAAAGAACTCACCTGGCACTCAGCCGGCAAGTTCTGGAGGGCTGGAAACAGGTTGCGTTGCAGTATGTGTTCAGTGTCCCGCTATGTCTTACACAAACAACTTGCCTTTGAAGGGGGCAAGTAAAAATCAAAAGGCCGAGTTGAAGCACCCCGGACAAATAGCCCACAGGACAACTCATACGACCCCGCGGCCATGAAACTCTTGTGCCAACGGCTGGCATGCCTTCCTCCAGGGCATCATTTTTGGAGACCAATACAACTTCGTTGTGGACCTCCCGTCAGGTTCCAGTGGATGGACGAAATCCGCTTAGGCATCACCTTGGAGCCACGGTTGAAACCATTGTTTGTTGGTATTTGTGGGGAGAATCATCATACCAGGGTTTCTTAGGTGGTGCAGGATTTCGTCCATCCACAGTAGTGGGAAAAAGGGGTACCCATCAGTCAGCACCAAAAAAACACAGATATATATATATATATATAGAGGCCTGCCCAAGACCGATACCCTGCTAACGTAGTCCGCAGCCCTTGTCATGACGTCTAAGATCCCAATTGAGGGGGTCCAAGGTCTTCCCCACCCAAGTCATGGCACGTCTTTTGGCAGGCAAAGTAGCTTGAAGAGGCACGGCTCGCCGGTGGACTGGTACAGCTTGTACTGCTTGGCCTCCTTGCCGATCCTCAAGCACATCCCCCACCCTTTCCCTGAAAACCGAGGGATCTAAAAAAGGTGCATCTGCCAGAGGTTCGTTCACAGGTCGAAGTCAACTGAAGTCAACTTGCACGCGAGTTTAACTCTAAAGATACCCCTTGCAAATGGGAAAATAAGCAACTGGAGTGGGGATGGATAGCAAGCTTGACTCGCATAGAACCGCGGAAGAATCGGTGTTCTTGCTCGGATGGTAAACCAAACACCACATGCCCAGACTAAGCTTCATAGTCAATCTTGAAATGTGAATGTTCTGAGACCCTAAAAAAAGCGATGACATGGGCCTAAAAGGAAAAAGGGGAAGTCAGTTTTTGGGCCCCCCAAAAAAACAAAGCGGCTGGTTTCCTTTTGGCTTGGTTTTTAATACCGTACCAAACTCGGGTTCTCCCCCCCAAAAAAGCAAAACCGGACCAGACCGCCCCTGCCACGTGGTTTCGGGGGTTTCGTCCCCCCCGAAACCCCAGCGAGCGACTCATTCGCTCGCTTCGATAGGCCAGGGGGCATCTGGCGCGGTCGCACCCAGCCGGGCACCACCAGGTGAAGCATCTCCTCGAGGTAGCGCCCCACGTTGGGGTTGGCCGCGTCGCCTCGAGGTAGCTGAGACGCGACAGTTAAATGGCTGTGGGTCAAAAATAGGTACCCTAAATGGAACATGGACTAAATTTTAACCCATGCCCAAATCAAGGGACACCATAAGGTGAAAAGGTCGACTCAATTTGGGCAAGTGAGATTCTTTGGATCTGGGCTGTGGCTCAAGAAACCGGAATTCCAAAATGGGGTGCCCTGGTAAGTGGAAACATTCACCAAAACCCGCGGTTTGCCCCTCCTGTTGAATTTTGAGCCACGCCCAAGTCAGGGGAAACCCAAAGGTCGAAAGGGTCGACTAGATTTGGGCAAGGGAGATTTTTGGGATCTGCGCTGGGAAGTGTTCAGGGAATTACGAGGTTGTTGGGTGGAAGGTTTGGTTCCCGGAGAATTAGAAGGGTTGTGCTGCTTTGGGTTTTGCCTTTGCTGAAATGAACACCCTCCCTTGAAATGCTTCGTGGAAAAGGGCAATCCGGGTCAGTTCATGTTGAAAGTTCTCAAAGATTTTACCCAGTTCTTGGAATCCTTAACAACTCCAAAGCCATCGGTTGCATAATTGGATGATACTGGTTGAACTGCGGGCTCGGTCACGAGAGTCTGCGTATCCCATATGGATGGGTCAAATCGAGAGAGGACTCGAGTAAGCAAGCCTAGGTCCTCCAGTAGAGAGGACAGAATAAGGGTACCCTTTTTCCTGTAGTCTATTTTAGTAGGGGAACCCTCCCAACCAAAAAAGGGGTGAGAAAGGGCACTACTGGGGGACCTAGAAGCACCGACCACCGCCTGGGAACGCGCCCGGAACCGCCCGCCATCTAAGCCCCCGCCTTTCACGCCGCCGATGGATTCATCGCTGGCCGGGAACTCCACGTCGGTGAAGAGGCCTGACGAAGGCACCGAGGTCGCGACAGACGGACGAGTTAAACCAAATATGGGGTCAGTGTTTTTCCTATTTTTGGTGAGGTACTCATTTTTGGTGAGGTACTCATTTTTGGTGGTTTTGTGAGAAACCATGTTGTTGGGGTTTGTGAAGTATTAATTGTTTGGTGGTTTTCAAGGGAAGCCAATCTTGTTTGTGTGAGGTATTCATTTTTGGGTGGTTTTCTCAAGGGAAACCAAGAGAAAGGCTGAAATCCATTTTGCTGGGTCCAACCTTAGAACAGACAGACCCATACATAAAGTTTCATCCCTCCCAATCATCCCTCATAAGGTGGTAAGGCTTACATCCATGGTGCATGTCGTCCGTACGGGTGTGACTTGAACCCCCGTTGAAACAAGAGACCCGGGTAGAGAAAGGGAAAGGCTTTGGGTTGGTTGGAAAAACAAACAAAAACGGATTTAGGAGGGTGCCCACTTGGACTCTGTCCAAAGAGGACGCAAATGGTTGCGAAGGTGAAACGTCCGCACGGCACATGAGCAAGCTACAACCCACCATAGTCCAGCAGGATTGGGGCAAAACACGTGCTTAGAATATGTTTAGGCCTGGCTTGGTTTTTTCATAATCCGGCAGGATCCCAGCAAAAACAGCGTAACAGGGCCAATTATTCCCAACCCTACTACCGTTCAGCTACCAAAGGGACACAAGGTGACCCAACTGCCTAACAGCCTGTGCCTTTTCGGTGATGCCGTGCCCTCGCCCAACCTAGGCCATCTCCTCAAGGATATGTGGCTTCAACGGAAGCCAAACTTCCAACCCCGCTGAGTTGCTCAGCCCAAGTCTTCAAGTACTCCCACCGCTCCCCATGAAGCAGTGACCGAAAAAGCGCGGGCAAGTTCAGCTTAGAGCAGCAAGTTGCCGTCCCAACTTGACATGAGGTGCCAGGGGAGGCTCCAAGCGCGAAAGCTGGAGAACAGGAGCCGGAGCCATTGGAGCCCCGTACGTTTCACTTTCACCCCGGATTTCCAGTCAAGCTATCAACACGACCCGATTTGCGAGCAACCGACAAATCGCGATTGAAACTCCCGAAATGGGACAGGTGAACATATTCATCACTTTCAGGGATGGCCCGAACCCCGCAAAACCTGGTCTTGCAACCAAACCAATCAAAGGCACTCCTTTTCAGGGCCACTGCTACAGTGCTCCAACTGATTCCTTATGCTCACTTCGCACATTGGCCAGGAATGGTCTACACTTTCTTCTTTACCATCTGGTCCAGACCCAAAAAGTGAAAGTCCAGAAACTCAGGAGACTATGAGGCTTGCAACCAAACAGCCCGCCCACTTCCTGAGTGGATGGGCCAAAATCCAGTGCAAACTTGTCATTTGCCGCCAAAATGGTCCAACCCCAAAGGTGACCCTGCTAAAAGGTGAAGAACTTTTTGTGGTTTGATACGGAAAACCCAAAAAGTCCGAACATCCCTTGGCAAAATGCACCAAAGCAAAGTCCGAGTCCCGGAACTCGGGACGTGAGGCCTCTGAGCCTCTGAGCCCTCCGAAGCGCAGACGCATTTTGTCCCGTCTCCGCCTACGCTGGGCGGCGCTGAGGCGGGGAAGACCTCCTGCGGAAATGAGTCCAAGAGCTGGGCAAAAGCTCCCCACAGATTCATGTCTTTGCGGGGGCAAAGAAATTCCTGATGTTTCAAAAACGAACCGTTCTTTTTAACAGGTTCTGTTGTGCAGGGTTAAGATGGACAACAGAAAGGTGAGCTAATGTCGAGCGCCGTACGCACCAAAGAAGCAAAACAGACCAGAACACACCCGAAACTGTAAAAGGCAACACATCCCAATGGTACGGCACCACCCCCACCTTCGAGGGTGACAGACCATACACGGAAATAACGCCCCAATTTGTAGAGGAAACGCCTGCTGGGAGGGGGAAAGACCCCCCTTTTTTTGGGTTCCATGGGATTTGTTTGCAGGGGAGCCATGCCACCATGGGTTGCTTGGTTGTCCTGAAAAATGCGTTGATTTTGGAGGTTCTCTCGTAACTCCTTGCGCACCGATGAAATCTCAGTTAGACTTGCCGCAGTCGTCACCTCCTAGATTGTTGCTTCTGGCCCACATGTAGTAAAACCCTTCAAAAACACTGGTGGCCTTTGGACAAATAGATGGCCCTGGTAAATGGAATAAACCCCATCTAAACCAGGGCCCTCTATTTTTTAGGCAAACCAACCAAAAAGGACACATATGTTCAAAAATGCACCCGTTATTTCGGGATTGAGACTCCGAGAAAGTGCCAAAAGGCTTCGGGAAGGCGGGCATGATTGCACGGCTCTGGTTTGTGGGCTGTGCGGAACCCCAGCCTCCGGTGTTTTTTGGGTCTACAAGTGGTGCTTTCGTCTGCATGCAACCCAACAAATTGCAAGCAAGAGGGTCAAACTCCAAAACAACCATTTATATGTCCCCTCGATGGAAAAGAGACATGGCCTTTGGTGGGGTGATGTTTACTCAGTTGCCCAAAGGAGAAACCATGGTTCGTTGGCATTTACAGAGGGATCGAATCCTCCCTTCCTTTCAATACACGCATCTTATTAACAATGCTAGTTTTCCAGACTGCCGGGTCCTCAATACTACTTTTAGAATACGCCAATTCAAAACCAACTCTAAACTTTTGGATTTCTCAGCCAGACCAGCCCCAGCCTTGTTGGGGGGTACAGTAATTCGTCCAGGACCCAAGCTCTTTGCACCAACCCAATACCAAATTCTGAATGCACATGCCTTTCTTGAACTGTAATTTACTTTTAAACCGCAAAAAAACGAAAAAAAACAGTCTCAAATAAAATCCGTTACTCGGAAATTTACGCTTTTGACGTTTTTCGTGTCTGGGAAACGAGGAGGACCGAAGAGGAAATCCGGTCGACTCCAAAGGACCCTATTAACAAATATGTGTTGTCCCCCAGACCTGATTTACTACTATTATTATTGTATTTTGTTGGGGGGGAGGTTTGCGTTTTTACTATTAGGGGAACGGATTTTTACCACTAAAATGGTCCAACCCCAAAAAGTCTCAAGTCCATAAACTCAGAAAGTGAGAGTCATTCTGTTCTTCCATTTGGTTAAGACCCCTGGAAAAAAAAAATATCTCTAGTAGTGATAGGCTCCCTTTAAAACCAACAGGGGAAAAACAAAACAAATATTCATTTCAGCAAATGGAAGTGTTTGGTTTCCGAACGGCAGGAGACTTCGTCCAGGGGGTTTCCCCTCTCCTTCATCTCAGGGAAGTCCGGCAGAGTCAGTGGCGGCTCGGGACGCGGCTGGACCCTCAGCACGATCCGGGCTAAAAACACACTGAACTCGCTGAATGGCAAACAAGAGATGTTTTTGTTTTTTGTTTTTTTAACTACCCTTCCTCCCACTAACATGGCACCTGTGGGGAGGTAGCTGGAAGATCAATTTCCTCTTAAGGAACCTGGCAGGTGCCATGAAAGTGGGAGGGAGTGTAACTCACCCCGGACTGAGTTGATTGGCCACACAAAGTAACCACACATCTTGTTTACCACCAAAATGGTAACCCGAAAAGTTAAACTCAAGCCCATGAACTCAGGGATGGTAAAGCCTAAGCCGTCCCACTCCAGCGGATTTTATGTCGACCAATGCGCCTTTCACTCTGGCCCACAAATGCCCACAACCCTAAGGCTCCCGATGCTTTTTGGGCCCTCAAAATGGGTTGTTTTCAAGAGCTCCTGGGTGGTCCGGGTTCTTCATTGGAGGGCCCGGGGCCCTGCATAGGAGGGGTCATGAGCCTTAGGGAATAAAAGATGGTTAAAGTCCTTCTTCCGCTTCGAACTTACACATTCAATAGGGAGTTGGAGAAGGTTGTTGGATTTTCCGAGTGGAAAGGCATGCCGCGGGGTTTCGCGATCCCTGAGTTCCATAGAGTCTTTCCAGAAGAAGGGTTGCCCTACAGCTGGACTACAGGGGGCGATTTTCCAATGGGGGTGCCCGAGTTTGCTCGCATGCCGCCTATTGATCGTGCTCCGCTCAGGCCATATGTGGGTCAAAAACAGGGTAACCCCAAAATGGAACCCTATAAGTGGTAACATGGACTAAAATATGCGGTCCATATCCTGGTGGTTTAAGTTTGACCCAAATCCATATAATAACACAAGAGCGAGCATTCTTCTGCAAGCACATTGTGGTGACTCTGCAGCCGCGGTCTGCGGCCCGTGTTCACCCAACGGCTATCAAACGCCAGCTTCCTAGTTGGGGTTGCCGTGGCTAGAATGCAAACTAGGACGACGCCAAGTGAAGTCGATTTGGGCCTGGTTCAAAGGGAAAGCAAAAGGCAAAGAACCATGCGGGGGTCCCCCTATTTGGCTGTGGGTCCAAAGCCCGTACCCCCAGTGAACATCCCAATCCCACTAAAATAGACTAAAATGGATGGTGCACCTGCCCCACAATGGTACCATAGGTTTTGACCCACAGCCCTTTTGACAAATAACCATTTAGGCAACTGAGGTTCAACTCGGGTATCATCGACAATGCATGCCTCGCCGACCTGAGGGACGATGACGGGGAACATCGCCAAACAAAAACTGCAATCCGAACCTCTCAACGCCGATGTCCAAAGTGTCAGCTGTGGCTTGACACTTGGGAAGCAAACGAGCAGGGACTGGCAAAGAGCTGCATGGGCTATCGCCCGAGTTGGTGGGTCGTAAAACTCAGTTGCCCAAAGCATCTCAACTAAACTCCAAGGAAAGTGTTTGCTTCGGGGCCGCAAGGTGTTAATTACGTCTTTGCTGCCACAGGTTCCGGCGCAGGTGCATGCGGTTCTCGGCGTTGCCGGCCACAGCGCGGACCTCCTCCTGAAATCCATGCGGATGGCTTGCCTCTCGCCGGAACCTTCCTGAACCCGGACACCTCCCCAGCCCACCCCAAGCCTCCATTTAAGGCGACACGGCCCACGGCCGCTGAGAAGGCACATTGAAATATGCTGAAGTCAGAGCCTGGGATTCTCATGAAGCACAAAAGGCCCCCCCGCTTTTAATCCGGGGCACCCCCTGTCACTGCCTGGAAGAAACAAAGCCCAAAGGAAAACCCCTGCTGTGTCAACTGGGCCGAGAGGTTCGCAGGTCCTTGATGGGATTGCTTCCCATGTTGTGCCCGTGTTGATTCTTCGCGGGGTTTGGGTAGACTCCTACACGTCCTTGCTGAGTTGGTCAACTCTACAAATCTTGGTGTGTAGGTGTCTGCATCACTCGTGTAAATGCACAAGTTTTGAGCTATGGCCAGTAAGGACTCGAGCAACTGGTTGCTTTTGCTTTCCCTTTCCTTCTTGCACTATCCCGAAAGGAGTCTTAGCTGGGGGGGTTCACCTTAGGACTGCAAGCCACCTGCCCCTCCCCTTGATGCCCCGGAATAACAGGCCTTTGGCCTTTGGTTGCGGGGGTGTTTTATCAGCACATCCTACATGTTGCCAGCACCATGCGGAGCCACCCCAGAAACAATCACGAAGTAGCCTAGTGCTCAACGTGCGTTCATGGCACGTGCAACATGTCGGAACTCCAAAAATATTTTAGTTTCTTTGTTCATAATTCTCCAACCTTGATACACGTATTTTTCGAGGCGGCCCCAGTTGGGTGTTCTGCCGAAGGGGGAAGCGGACGAGGGGTTCCAACATTCCACTTTTGTCTACAAAGGGAAAATTGAAGTACGCACCAGGCTGAAAGTAGGCACATGTTGTACAATTCCCGGAGGTAAGAGAATGGCTAGAATGACTAAACGCCGGTGGCATAGTGCCAACTTTAACCTTGCAGAGGGTATGGGTCAAATTAAACCAGAAGGATATGGACCGCGGGGTTTAGTCCATGTGTCCATAGACCAGGGCAACCCATTGTGGGTACCCAGGCGGCCTTTAAGATCATGTCCTTTTCAAGGGACCGGGCCCCGAACGTCAGGCTCCACGTGAAAAGGGTAGGAGGCTACCCTCCCGACTAATTCACATGGAAGCTCCCAGAAGAAATGCCCCCCGGTAAGTGGAAGCCTGCAAACACCCGGCTGCTTTCTGCGAAGCCCTGCTAAAAGTGAATAACTTTTAGTGGTTTGATACGGAAAACCCACTAGTTGGCAAACAGGTTTGAAGTCCGAACATCCCTTGGCAAAATGCACCAGAGAACCTGGGGGTCCCAGTCCACCCAGTCCATTTCGGTGGTCCCTTCGGGAGCTCCCAACCGTTGCATCCCAGCGGCAGCGCTGCCGGCCGGCTCTCCACTGCATTGGTTGCCTCGGGCAGGCAGGTGGTTCCCTTGCATTAGAAGGGAGCAGAAGGAACGGCCTGATTTTACAAGGGCGTTCTAGACCATTTGCTTGGTGCAGGCGATTCTTGAAGTGCTCCTCTTCATGCTTGTGGCCAAATCAGACTGTCTGTGACACTCATAGGACTTCGGAAACTTGGTGAGCTCCCTGGTTCCTGCGGGTTTCTTTCAAAGTGTCCGCCATGAATTCCAAATAGGCCAATGACTACTGGAAATTCTGGCTAAATCCCATGTGATTCTGTCATGTATTTCCCCTTTCTTGTGGTTTTAACAGGTGAACAAACAGGAAAATCACTTTTTGGGGGGGGGATTCCCCACAAAAAAGACACACCCATTCCCTCGCCTGGGCTCGCTTAGTATCACAGAAAGTGGCCCCCGCTGCCCCATAGGACTCCCAACTCAGCAACTCAGCGTCCCTCCGCTTGGCTTAGATTGGTTTAAGTGTTAGGGGGTAGACAGTTTATCCAAATTCAGGGTTCAAATCCCATCCAAGCCATGCTAGGAGAAAGGGCACAATAAGCAATAAGCAAGCAAACGACTGCTGTAAGCAAACATCGTTCCGCATAACCTAACACTCAACAGTATGATCTTTTATACTCACAGGATCTCACAGGCACTTTCAAGTATAGCCTGCTACAAAAGTAATGATGTCAATGTGTTAAGCACATGACAGACAAAGACTGAACCACCATACAGCAATAAGAAACAATTACAACCAACCCACACAGGACTGAATGCTAAAACCATTTTCAACAATAACCTGTATATTTTTTTCGTATAACCCGCTTCTACCTCGAGACGTGAACCTGTTCTTCGTCCATTTGCAAAAAATGAATTTCATGCACGCCATTCCGCTGTGAATGCTGCATACCAACCAGCGGCCTCGATACCAACAGCCTGCATAGGGCGCGCAGCCAACAACACCACCAGCTTCAGGGGGCCTGGAGCCTTCAAATTCCAAGGCCCGTGGCAAATCCCATTGGCCATGGGAAAATGGAGTTGCCACTCTTTTCCTCGGTTTCGCTAATAGGGCAACCCCTGAAACTTGGAGGAAAGGCAACCCCTAATTTTTGGAAGAAAAAGCACCAATGCTTTGGACTGAACCATTTGCCCGAGGCGCCCATGATGAATCAGATATCCTTCTCGGCGGGTGGGTAGGAGAGGAGTTGCACTCAAAGGAGCACGTCGAGGCTGAGAAGAAACGGCCACGGAGAAGGCAGCGATTTCGACACCCCCATCCCTGAGCCAAACCAAAAGGAGCCGTTTCTCTTGGCCGATTCCGGGCTGGACTGCGCCAAGGCGCCAAGCCAGAAGCTCCCCTACAAATTGACATGGGGGGAAATCCGTTTCCCAAAAGGAGTTTGATCTCAGAATTGTGTTTTTTGAGGGGGTTCCATGTTAATCTGTAGGAGTGTACATGTAATTGCTTCGGCTGAGTGGCCGCCCGATTCGTGGAGATCTTTGGCGGCTTCGAACCCAACCCCTACAGCCATTTCAACTGCCCCAAAGGGTCCAAGTACCTAAGGAGGTACTTCGACCCCTTTTTACCCCCCAAAAGCCATCCTCATGAGGTGCTTGGCCCCTCTGGGTGCACCAAGACAAACGTACCATCCAAACATAGGTGTCTTAACGGTTATCTCGGTTAACCTGCCAAAACATCGGCCATGCCCCTGGGAAAATGGGGGGCTGTTTCTAAAGAGATGGGTGAAGAGAATGGTTAGAATTCCGCAGAATGTGGGCTCCCCATTTCAGCTCAGTCAGTTCTCTTCGATGTGCATGGCCGGAACGCAACCAAAAAGTCAAAGCGTACCAGCGGCCCTGGCACATGGAACGCGACCAATCTTCACCAGTGCCATCTATTTCTAACCAAACCAACTCAAAAAAGACATCATCGGACATCTATGATCACGCATCGGTATTTAATTATTGTCCATGCAGTGAACCTCAAAACGGTTCACTTGAAAAGCTAACAAAATATGTTTCCGCTACCAGCGTGAAACAGGAACCTCACGTTTGTAAGCAGCCTACTACCCGGCTGAACAAGAACCTCATGTTAAGCACTCTCCTGCAAGCGGTAGGAGTTGGCGATGTTGATGACCAAAGCGTCGAACCTCGGCTGCCAAAGAACCAATATGTCGATCCTTGGCCTTCGCCCACCAGGGGCAACGACGGATTTTTTGCTCAAAGGCGAGATCTAGGTTTGGGTGCATGTCACCCGTCCCCAGTTTTTCTTCCGGTGGGTGTGGCTCAAAATTAAAGAGCTAGGGTTATGCAGGGTTTGGTCCATGTTTCCCCTTGCCAGGGTTTTTATGTTGGTACCGGTTTTTGAGCCACAGCCACATGTTTGTCACGCAAAAACGCCACACACCAAAACCCGGTTGCGTCAAGGCCCGAGGCCTCCTCTTGAAGCCCTCGCATCGGACAAGTTCGCGAAGGAACTGCGCCGAAAAACCGAAGTCTGGGTCAAACCTACAGACTTTCACTGGGTCATGCGAGTTGGATGAGAGGTCTACCACAGGAATGTCGAAAGCGCACCACGGACAGCGGCCCCAAAGCAGTAACCCTCAGGCGCTGATAGGTGAAAGGGAGCAACCCCCCAGTTGCTCACTTCCATCGCCCAAAACATCCCCAACAAAAACGAGGGAGGACATCACAAGTCCACGCCCACGAGAAGCCGCCCGCCGCCGTCATGGGCCACCTTTTTAGCTGCCGCGCGATGCAACGGCTCTCTCTCTCTCTCTTCTATGTTTTGCTGTGGAGAGATTAGAATAAGTTGGCGCCCACTTTTGTCTTTTTAAAAAAATCAGTAGGGTTGAACCCTCCCCACCAAAAAAGAAACTTTCGGCAAAAGAAACGGAACCAATTCCTGGAATTGGTCCCCCAGACACCTGGAAGCGTGCCCGAGGCCTTGCGCCGCCGAGGCCTTGCTTGCGCCGAGGCGCTGGTCCAGGATGATGTCCATCCACTTGGAGTTCCCGAAGCCCATCACCGCCGCGTTGAAGAGAAACATCTCACGGAAGGTGCTGGGCACCTGCCGCTCGATCTTTTCGTTGGCTTCGTGGGCGGTTGGGTGGGTGGGTGGTGGGGAACCCAGAGGGGGGTTTCAGGAGGCGGTGGTTTGGGTGGGTGGGTTGGGTGGGGAACCCAGAGGGGGGAGGAACGGAGGGGGCCTGGAAGGAGAGAAGCATGGAGGCAAGGGGCCCTAGGAAAAACCATCCAAGAAACTGGTGGCTTCCTTTAAGGGAATCCCCGGAATCCCGCAAAACCGGTTGATTCGTAATGATTCGTACCCCGAACACCCGGATCCGGATCATTCCCTGCCTTTCGGAATTGAAACCAAGCGGAAGTTGAGAAAAGTTGCCAGGGGTTAAGGATTAATTTATCCTTCACGGGAGAAGGGTGGTGTGTGTGTGTGTGTGTCATTGTTCAGCAATTTTGCAGAGACATGACTATAGACATGGAGATCTCCGGGGTCCCCGCATGAAGGGGAGGGGGTCCCGGATCCAATTTGCGAGCCTTACCAAGACGGCTCCCTATATTTCCCGAAAAAAACACCCAAGATGAAAGGACAAAATTCCCCTGGCCACGGGAACGATGGACAAATCATTGCGACTTCCGGTCGAAATCCCACAACTCCATAAACTGGAAACCATGGCACCTTGCGATGAAACTTCGTTGATTCCACTACCCCTACCCCCCTATTGAAAACAAACTGAGAGCCTCTTGTTGGAATATGTATATACGTAACTATATATATAAATAGATATATACATGTATAATATATACATATTATACATACGCCGACACGCCGACACACCCCCCCCCCCCCCCACAAAGGCTGAAGGGGGTGGCGGCAGACCTGGATCAACACCACAGGAGATGCCCTCAAGGCCCCAAGGTGTTTGGGTTCAGGATGAGCCTTGGTTGGTGGGCACGTGTTACGTGTTTTGTGTGTTTTTGTTTGTTTTTTTTCCGCGGACCCCCATGTTTTCAAAATACCCCCCCCCCCCCGAGTTTTTCTGAATAGAACTGGTGTCCAGCTGGGTTTGGTGGGGATTCAAACCACTCTTGGGGCCCGAAATTCCACCCCCCAGATGAAAATCAACTGGTTGGTTGATTCACATGACGTCAACATGACGTCAACATGACCGCATTCGCCTTCATCTGCGAGGCTGAGCCCTTCTTCTCCCCCTCCCCCGAGGCCGCGTTCTCCGCGGTCTCCTGGCAACTCGGAGTCTCACTGGGAGGGCCTCTCACAAAACCCGAGCGGATGGCCCCAAAAAGTAACCCAGCTGGCCATTGACCGCTTGTCCAACCTCAAAACATAAGTCCAACACTCAGGAAGTAAGGGTTTTTGGATTTCCAGCTAAAACGCATCACGCAGAACTGCTCAAACTCGCGTGACACGCTGAAACTGGCTCAAAAAGGGGAGGTGATGTCTTCAGTGGAGCCAAAACAACTCCCTAACTTGCTGTATCTTTGCCGCTAGTTCCATGTGTCCCGAACATCAGGCCAGGAACTCAGGGAGTGGGCGATTCGATTCGCACCGCCACTCGGTAGCCTGCACACGCCTTACGCGCCTTGACCTGTTGCAAGCAAAAGGGAAAGAGGGTACTAGGGTTGTGGAAGTTTGGTTTTACCCCAATTCCTACATAGACGTGAACAGGCGGATTTTGCAAGACACTTCCATTGGTGCAGTTTCCGGGTGCACGACACCCCAGAGCAAACGTTGTTTGGGTTTATTGGCTCGCCAAACAAAGAAGGAAAGGGTACCACTGAACTACTGGCTTCAAGGATGGCCCATTCATTGCGGGAGGGGGTGGGGTGGGACAAAATGGGAGGAACCGCCCTTTTGTGACGTAATTGAAACTTGCCGATCGAACCATCGCGCATGGGGCTCACTTATTGGGCATGTCTGAAACCTCGGCTGGGACCCGAAACGCCTCGCAAATCAGTCAGCTGACCCCAACACGTGCATGCTCGCCGGACAATTTGCCGGCTCACTTCCTGAGTGGGTTGGCCAAAGTAAGTCTGAACTTTTGATTTTGGACTTCAAAAGTTGAAAGTCCAGGAGTCCAACTCAGCAAGTGAGCTGAGGGAGCCCAAGACCTTAGATTCGAGGCTTCCAGGGCCCCAAAGGTAAGCCCAAATGTCAGGCCCCACTTACGTGAGTTGCACTGCGTGGCCTTGTTCTCAGCCCATGACGTAACGGCAAACTAACGGTACCCGCGTGTGTTTGGCGGGGGGCAAGTGGTGGGGGGAATCAATCAGGGCAGCATGACCAGTTCAATGAGGGAATGACTCCCTGTAAAGCATCCTCTATGGGTTTCCTTTAAGACGTCCCCTGGGTTCATTCCCTCACTCCCTGCCTATCGCACCAGCAAGTCAAAAGTTTTGGCCCGGTCGAATTGCCACGCCTCGGCGCCTTTCTTATTCGAAGGCGTTTCATCCTGTCAAGCTGGGACATGCCGGAGCCGGTGCTCAAAGGAGAGCCCATCCCCTTGAGGGGCTAAGCCCAAACACACTACTCCACTAGATGCATCCTGCTAAGGAAAACAAGTGCTATGCACCCAGTGATCAGCTTTCCTCTAATTGGTGGTTTGGTGGCTAAGGAGGGGGTTCCCATTTACCCTCTACAGGAAACAGGAATTCAACTCCCCAGTTCCAATCCACCAATCCAAGCCACCGACCTTTGGGGTTCCTGAAGCACCAACTACCACCTGAACATGGGCAACTTGTGGGACCCGACAGGCTTTCACAGACCAACAAACAGCCACGAGTCACGAGACTCTTCCCCCCGATTGCCAGCCGGGGGGAGGGGGGAGTGGGGATCCTGGCACCCACCAAAACCCCTCTAAATACCATGGCCATCCATTGTTTAAACATAAAAACATAAAACTGAAGAACAACAAATCAAAATCTACTACTTCCCTTCGTAGCCTTAAGCGCCGCTTTTAACACGTCCGAAAGAAGCAGAGCTGGCCATAGCACCCAACCCGCTACTCCAAGCACACGCTTGGCTTTGGCATTTACGTCAGGGGCTGACATCTGGAGACGCCCCAAAACACACAGCTCGTGTCGGAAAAAAAAGAAAGCCTACCCTACAATAACAAATATTCAAATAGTTTTGGAGGAGACCCAAAAACTGGAAATCGATGGGGATTCGCACCGGAGCAACTGGCCCCCGCTGGCTCCTCCTTTTCTTCAGTCTCCTCGTTGTTGGTGGCATTGGCCTCCGCTGTTTCTTCCTCAGGCTCCGCCACGGACTTGTTGGCCTGGCGCTAGGTGGAAAACCAAGCCATGGCCTGCAGAGGTCAAAACCACCAAAGGGTAACCTCAAACTCAGTTGCAACCAGCTTGGACCCCTTGAAATGAAAGGTGGATCACCGGTTTTGGGGCCACAACTAGACATGGACACCAAACGGGGGAAACCAAAAGGGCCCTTCAATCGGGCTGGCCGATTCCCCAATCTTTTTTTTTCTTTTTTTTTTTATCGCGACAGCGAAGGTTCCTGTTTTTGGGGCCCTTCTTTGGGACTCGGTCCCTGACAACGTCAGAGGGCCTGCCAAAAACCAAAGGGTGACCTCAAATGCTAAGAGAAAACACACCAACCTCTACCTGTCGGAAGTGCACAGTGTTTTGACAGTCAAATTTCGGCAGAAAGGGAAGCAAGGCAAACGTTTGAGTTCTTCAACCTGAAAACTTAGCTGCGGGGCGGAGCAAGGCGGGGGGGCGGGGCGGCGGAAGTGGGGGGGGAGGTGCCGCATGAGAGAAGCCCGAGCTGGACCCACCTCTGCGGCCCGCTGTAAAACCCATGGCTTGCCAACCCCTTGAGGTCCCTTGAGGTGGTTGGGGGTTTTGAACCCCTTTGAAGCCAAGGGAGGCGCATCAAGCCCAAACCGGCAAAACGTTGAAACCAAGCCAGTGAACTTAGTGGCATTTGATGTTGTAAACAGGTTCCTTTAGCCAAAGCCATCCAAAAGCCCCCCCCCTCCCAATTCCTTCTCAGTCAGGGACATGTATGTTTTAGCCAGGGAATAGCTGTTTCTGCTCTTGCTCGGGGATAAAATGACATGAGGTGCGCTGCGATGAAATGAGCACACCTCTGAAAGAGAACACGTTTTGTGGAATCTGCAAGATCCGTCCGTTTGCCTTGGGTCCTCTGTTAGGGCTCCCGGAGTAGCGAAATGAGTTGGCCAGCCCGTGGTCTCATGAAGGTGCAGGAAAATCGGATTGGGTTTCGAGCGCGCCTCCCGCCAGCTGCGGTGGATAATCTTGATGCGCACCGCATACCTCATACCAAAAATCAGTGGCTTCAAGCGCAAACTCAGCAAGAATTCAACACCCTAACTTGGTTGCTTGATCCCTCTGCAAAAATAGAAACTTTTTGCGGCTTTAGTGGAGAACCCTTCATTTCCCAACATGTTAAAGTCTAAGGATTCCCAGGTGCAGGACCTGCTGGTGAGCTTGTTGTGCCCCCGAGGCAAGCTCGCCATCTGGTTGCGGACTTTTGCCGTGGGTAGGGTTCCCACAAAACGGGGTGCAACTGGAACCCACGGTTCAGTGCATCTTGTTGCACACGGCAACGTCCAACTCTGAGGGTCAGAATTTCAGTCGGCAACCCCGCTACGCAAACCCCCGATAGATCGTTTCGAAATCGGAGAATCACAGGTTTCAGCGGGTACCCAAACTATGGCATAAGGGGATGGGAATCGATCTTCATCAATTTGGCTCCTTGCGGTTGTTGGTTTAGCTAGGTGTAGGTGTCTGGAACAATTGGCGAATGATCCACCCCCTTTTGATTTGTTTCCTCAGGAGAATTACATTAAATCTGCTATCAAACCCGCAGTAGGGCAAGTAAAAGGACACCCCCCTTTTTCTAGTGGACGTCGACCCATGGGCACAAGACACGGATTGGTGCTCACAAATGGGTCCCTCTCGCTCTGTCCACAAGGTCAGGCTGGTTTTCGGCTTTTGGGATGTCCGTCTTCCACTGAACTTGGAAACTTGCCACCGAGAAGACACTCCGACACTCCGGTTGGCTAGGGGGGAGAGGAAAAAAAAAACGCGAGCCCGAAAAGCAAAGAACTAAAGGGAACATATCCCGTTCCTCCGAGGAAGTGTTGGGGATCTTATTATAGTATTGAAAGTGGCCCGATCGTCTGGCTCTTGGAGTGACGAGATGGGTTTGAGGCAGGAACTGGCCTTGAAACATCCAGCAGTCCGCACAAATCACTAGAACTCCTGTGAGCTCGTTTTAGCCTGCCCCGACTCATACAAACCAATCAAGGGCAACACCCCTGAGTTTCAAAGCGTTGCCCTTGCTCTGAAGCATACACAACTGGCTCATACTCTCAGACACCCGTGCCTACAAACGTGGAAGGAACCAACAAAAAAAACAATCCTATTTGGTCCTCGGCTTTGAAGGGGGTTGTTACCCCCTCAACACAGGCACTGAGAGGAGGCCACCCTGAGGCCCGCGCTCCTTCTGAAAGTAGCAGAAGGCACCGCCCCAGTAGTTCAAGAGCGCAAACCACCCCATCCGAGCCTGGCGGACGGAAAGCTTTATTTGTTGCCTCCAAGCTTGCCAGTGAAATGTCCAAATCAAGCTGCTCCTACCCAGTGCTTGGGGAATCCCCAACTCTGTTAAGAGGCTTCTATGCCCCGGTGCGTTGCACAATCCGCGTGTGGCACGTGATGGGCTTCTCCGCTGATTGAATCGGATGTCCGGGGAAAACCGATTCACCTTCTTGTTGCCGCAGGTTCGTACAACCCAAACATATGGCCAGCGGAGTATCTGCCACCAGCGTTTTGTTGGGTACCTTCCCCTTTTCGTAGTCACAAAATCGAGCGAAGGAGTGAACCAAAAGCCTCGTAAAAGGAACACAACTCGCCCAACATTTGGGAGTGTCTATTTGTCCCCATTTTTCAGACGCGCACACATTTTTGCTTGGCTCCAATTGAAGCCACACCCCTGGACCCCCGGACAAACAGGGAAAGAGCCGATAGACTGGTGTGACTCAAAATTAAACTGGGGGGGTTACGCTGGTTTTGGTCCATGTTTCCACTTACCAGGGTCCCATTTTGGTACCGGTTTTTTGAGCCACAGCCATGTGTCTTTTTTTGGCCAAGGAAACCTACCCCCAAAGAGACACCAAGGACAAACACTGAGTGAACCATCGATTAATTTTGTTACCTGCCCAAAGGACCTGGAAAAAGAAGGTGATCACCTTTTGGGACCTTTACCCCCCCCCAAAAAAAAACAAAAAAAAACTCAGGGAAAAACCCAAAAGGTCCAAAACGTCGATTCGCTTGGGGCGGCTTGGGGCAACCGAGCTTTTCCGTCCGCAAAACGGAGCGACGTGGAGCGAGCGAGCGCCTGCGGCGTGAAGTCCGCGGCCATCTCGCTCTCCCACATCTCCAGCATGGCGTCCCGGAGGACTTCCACGCCCTGCGATGACTTGATCAGGGGGGTAGAGAGGGTAGAATCAGTTGGCACCCGATTTTTTTTCAGTTTTGTCTATTTTAGGGGAACCCTCCCAACCAAAAAAGGGGAGGAAAGGGCACCTGGGGGACCTAGAAAGAACCAGAAAATCCGCGGAGTGCGGATGTCCATGCTTCCATCGGGGAAACAAGGGGCCTTGTTCGTAACTTCAAAGGAAGAAAGGTTTCCACTGGACGGGGTCAGCCTGCGCCGCCTGAAGATGTCATATATTTTGATGGCCCATATCTAAAATGCATGGTACCAAAAGTGACAAACAAGGCCTGGACTACCCAGGTTGCAACAATGTATAGCAACAACGTACCATTGCTCCAGATAACATGTTGGATGCCCAACATGTGGGGCTGACCTATCCCAAAGGTAGATACTAATCACTTAAATCAACGATAACTTCTCAAATCTCGGCCTGTCGTTTGGGCCCCAAAAGTTCGTTCGACGAGCTCCTCGACCCTTGGCTCCGGACCTTTCAATTGCCTGGCAACTGTGTACCCCCCCCTGCAAGGGAAGCCATCTGGTTCAAAGGTTTACACCTTTCCTTTGATTCCAGACACAACAAGTAAAAGTGCGAAAGTTTGGAAGTGGGGGTTTGGACCAATCAGTTCAATTGGCGCGCCTTCGGTTCATCTATGTGCGGGTTGTTTGTGTTCACGAACCTTTTTCTCCAGGGTGGAGCGCCCATCTGGGAAGCTGCTCGCTATACTTTTCCCAGACTCGATTAAAACCACCAAAACACCTTGCCCATCGACATGCTCTAGTGCTGGGTTCCTCTCCGTGAGCAAAAAGCTCGATCACACTGCGAGTCCAATGGAAAAAAAAAGGGGAAAAACAACTGTTTCCAAATGGGTCCCAGGGCCCATTACACCACCCACCGGCCGCCATGCAAAACCCGCGAGAACGCGGCCTCTCGCGAATCGGCGAATTTCACGCGTTCGATCGAAGTTCGCGCGCGCCTGCACGCTCACCGGGCGGTCCAAATGCCGAAAGCTGATGATCTCGACCTGCCGACTCCCCACTCGATCGGGTCAAGGAGACCTTGGGTCATGTTGACCCCATGTCAATCAACCCCAGTTCCCCTCCACAAGTGGTGAATCCCTACTAAAACCAGGAGGGAACCCAGCTGAAATCCCTACCCTGACTTCCAACCAAGCCTAAATGTACTTGGACGATGTTCGCGGTTGTCTCCAATGAATTCCTCTTCCCTACAAGTCATCATGTGTCCTCAAAAATAAATCCCAAAGGAGGCCCCGATCTAATCTTGAAAGTGCCGAAAGGTGACGTTTATCCTGCAAAAGGGCACGGAACAGGCCCCGTGAAGCAAATTCAAATGTCAAAATTGCGGCACCAAACACTTGGCCCAAATCTAATTCAGGTATACCAACCTCATTCCGGCTTCTGTTTCACACCCAGCCCAACCGAAAAAGAGAGAAAAAAAAACAACTTCACCCAGAACCACCAACTACTCGCCGCATCGGCACCTGGCACTGCCCCGCCTGGGTGCGCAGCTCCCCGGGGTGGCCCATGGCCTGCACCACCGGGGAGATGCCCTGCACGATCCGCAGGAAGAGCACCGTGCGGGGCGAGAGGAAGTGCCTCGCTTTCCGACAAACTTCGAGCGGCGAGCGGCGGCGAAAGAGGCGAAGAGGGGAGAACGAGCCAAAGGGCGCAAGGGGCGCAAAAAACGGCCGGGGGATGGGGGGGGGGGGGATGGGGGAGGAATGTGGAGAGCTGGAACTGACCTCATTCTTTTACTATGATCAAAGTCAACCCCTAAGTGGTGAGTTGTTTCCCTTTAAACTCCATTTTCTGACTTTGATAACCCACAGAAACCGTCAAACAATGACCCCGGGAGAACCGTCCCTGGTTAAGGCCTCAAGGCCGAAATCGGCTGGAACCCGGTTAGGGGCCGACTGGCACTAAAGTAGCCTGACCCAAACTCCTGCAAACACCGATATTCGGGAACGGTTAGGCAAGTGTGCTAAACACCGTTCCCTTCAAAGGGGAACCACAAGGCGGCTGCTTGAACAGCAGCGTGATAGCACAAGGCAACGCATAGCACAAGGCAACGCAAGCCGTCACCGGGCTTAGGGTAGAACAAGGCATTGAGGGTGTTCAGACTTGCTAACAAAGAATGCCAACAACTGAAATCCGCAGTAAGGGCTCGGTGTGGAAGTTCCTTTGCTGGTGGTGAGCCCCCTGATTTTGCTGGGAAAATTTGTGAGCTTCCCATGTCCCTTCCAACTGCTCCATAGACGACTGGTGGTGAAGCGAGAGGGACCCAGTGGCAAGGACCCCCTTGCGGGGTTGGACAAATCCACCAACCCGCCAGGGATACCAAGGATGAAACGCCACTTGAAGATCCCTGGCTTGCGAGTGGATAGGGGGAATTCCAGGGTCACCTCCCTCCCCCAACTCCATGTTTCAGGGAGGGATTTTTGCTTTCGGAGGACAAGTCTGGGGCACAAATAACATTTGGTCATATATGTAGTCAACTCTACAATTCTACATCGTTTCGGAGAGGAAATTACATGGTTGCCCATGCGTAACTTTCTGAGACAAGTCGGTTCTTCTTTCAGCTAAGTAATCGAGCCTCTCTTCCTGCCAACACAATGCCACTTCCGCAGGGCAAGACATACTTAAAAGGAAGCTCACTTAACCTCGGCAACCAAGTTGGTGACTTCTAAATCCAGCCTTCAAACGCAAAGGAGCCCTGAAACCCCACATGCTTTTTTGGGATCGTCCATGGCCCTCCGGGGGAAACCGTAGGAAAGCTGCCAGCTTTGTTCTCTGCGGCCGAGCTGCGAATGCAACGAGGGCGCGGCCTCCCACCAGGCGTTGAAAATGGCCTCCCCCGCCTGCTCCGGGGAGCCTGCGGATGGGATTATTTTTCTCGCTGGTTCGGTCAAAGGAAGGAAGTCTCGGTGGTTTTGTTTTTGCTGGCGCTTCGCAGCCAAGGGTCAGTAAGAATTTCCCTGTGGTTCAATCAGGAAGCTGAGGGAGGAAGGAGGGAATAACCCCAGTAAACCATTCCTTTTCTTCTTGGTGGTCCCTAGGTTCATCCCCAATACCCATTCTTGCAACCGGCCTGGTGTGGGGAACAAGCGCTTGGAGGGGACAGGACTCGACCCAACGTATTTCTCTTCGTTAATGCTTCGATGCGCCGCGGGGAAACTCAGCGAAACAGTTTGGACTCCGAAATGCCCAGCTTTGGACTTCTTGTGGGGCCACGACGAAAATATGGCTGTGGCTCAAAAAAGTGGTACCAAAATGGCACTTTGGGAAATGGAACCAAAGCCTAAAACCTGCGTAACCCGAGCTCCTCAATTTTGAGCCATACCCATATCGTCTACGTGGAATCAATTGTGCTTTGGATTTTTCTGTTGGTTTTTGGTGGCCTCCCATTTGCAAAGCCATGAGCCAAGGATGATTTCATCCCCAATCCAAGCCACAAATTTTAAGGTTAACTGAATATGCTGCTGCGATAACCCGAAAAGCGAGAAACACATATGAGAAAAACCTGGGCGAAACAGACTTGATACAAAGACTCAACACCTTGGAGCCTGTGCTCCAAACTGTTTTGAACATCTCGAGGTTTCCTGCAGTGGTTCCCAGCCAGTATAACAGGTAGCCATGATCCTTGGCTTTAAGGGGCTCCCTTGGTTGCTGTATAGCTGCCTTGGGGAATCTTCCTGCCAATGAAACACGCGGGTTTGCTCAAGGGCTGTGGTTTCGTGGTGTCCTTTGGGCTTAGAGGGTATGGTGTTTCCTTCAATCCTTGCAAGGTACTGCTCAGCCCGGATCAATAAACCGTCCCACTATTGCGGTGGTTCCCTCCAAAAGTAATGAATTTCTACAAAAAGGGGACACCCCCATTAATCAACCAGGGATTTTGTACTCTGGGGTTCACATTAATTATTCTCCTTGGCAGACCGCTTTCTCGGGGCGCGGCCACGTCCCATGCTGGAGGACGTGGGAAATTACGTTCTTCCCTTTCTGTGGTGAACTTTTGCCCAGGCCGCGTACGCCTTAAGCTTGCGAGCCAAGAAGCAACACGTCGCGATTGGGGCGAAGGGTGCTGTGATGTGCTGGGATTCCGATCCTTTGTCGCAGAAGTTGGGCAGAACCAAATGCCTTCTGGCGCCCCTTGAAAACAACCTGAAAGGATACGGTTGTTAATCAAACGCACATACATAGGTCTGTATCACCATACATATATGTTATGTATGTGATTATTATACACACACGGGTGCATGATGGCTATATGTTTCTGACCTAGCGACTTTGAACGAGAGTCGATGCCTGCCTGCATGGGTGAGGAACAGCTGCCAGGTCCTCTGAACCTCGCAAAGCCGACGCCAAATCCGCCGCCAAATCCAGCCCAACGTCGGCTGACTGTTCTTGTGATTTTCGGGGAACCCCAAAAAAACACACACTTGTGTCCCAAATTTTGAGAAACATTTTTAGGGGCCTCAAAACCAAGGCCAGGGTTTCTCATGCTTCTTCGCTGGGTCCGAGCACAGCCCGCAGGTTTTGACCCTACTCGAGGGGCACGAAGCTGCCCCAAAGGTGGTCCAATTGAATTAATTGGCCCCCCCGAATAAAGGCTCCCCTGAAAAAAAAAAACGTGTTCTTCAAAACGTAAGGGGAATATGAAAATTAGAAACATGTTGCTTGGGGGACACTACTAAATCAGTATAGCCCAGATTGAAACCAATACCAAACCAGGGATTTCTCCCACCGACCAATGCAACAAAAAGGGGAGAGGTGAAGCACACCCCCTGTTGGTTGCCAGGCCCTTCCAAAATGTACCAAAACCCCTTTCAAACAAGGCATCTCCGTGGTTAAGCGAAAAAACAAACACCACGGGACTTTTGGGAGCACTGAAGTGGCACTTCCTAACATAAGCTGTGCCAAACAAGGTCCACTTGTGCAATTGAGGCACGGTCGAAATTACTTACGTCCAGCCGTTTCGATACTTAGTTTGAGAGCCCCCTATCGTTTGCCATGGTTGTGTGCATTTTCACAACAGCGAGTGGCTAAACTCAAGAGAAGTAGTTTTGACGGTACCTCATATACCAACTCGGTCCAAAGCCCAGCGATGGAGCAGGGACGAAGGGTCGACGGCTTTTGGTCGCCGGATCTCGCCTCAGCCGTGATGTCGGGCGGGAACTTGACACGGTCCAAGGCCTGGTCATAGACCACCTTGTACTTATCCATCACCTCGTCCTGAAATGGGAACAACCCGGACATTCGATAAGGAGTTGAGATCTAAATGGGTATGTATGATTTTTTTGGGGGCCCCCCAAAATGGTTGCTTGGTTGCTTTCTTTTTGGTTTCCCTTTTTAAACCAAAGGGGGGTATCAACTAAAACAAAAAGGGAGCCACGCATATGCAGGCCAGTGCCATGCCGAAGATTTCCAGTTGGCTTAGAGCCCAGGGCCTAGTTGGAATTCACAGACCCTACCCCAGTCCCAAGAGCCGAATGCGGGAGGGGTTGAGAACAAGGCCCGAGACCACTTGAAGAAGGCATTGTGGTTTAGAGAAACCTTGCATTAAAACAACCAACCAACCAACCAAACAGACAGACAGACAGACAGAAGCAAACAAACAATTTCAAACGGAATGCCATGGCCCAGAAAGAAACATGTCGATTTCTTTGGCCAATCCTCCCTTTGGCACATGAATCAAAGGTAGGACTCCTACGGCGGACTCCCTGTTTCTCAATGCCCCGAAGGGTAAA